ATTTGGTTAGCTCATGGCTAGATAGTAAGTGCGTTGTTCAGAATAATGTCAAAAGCACAGGTCCAAGACTTGTTACAGCTGAGGGGTACTTGGGACCTGCCACCCCATTCTACCCCTGAGGGTGAAAGACAATAGCAAATCATCTATGACAACCAATGGCAAGAGAAACATTTCAGGATGAAATGTCAGTGGATAAAGAGGCAAGGCCACCTTTGGGCAAAGTATTCATGAATAAATCAATTCCTTTTTATCACTAAGCCAATCTGTTTTGGTGACACATTACTGAATGAACAAATTCATTACAGCATTTGACAACTTAATCGCTAAAGTAACAAAATTAATTAACTGCAGAAGACTGTAAGAAAACCCTTTGTAACTAAACTATGGCTTTCTAAGGCACTTTTACTTACATGTTGTTTGACTGACTGGGGTTCCCGGCTAGGTTTACTGACTCTTAAACAGCATGTGTAGGTTGTATTCCGTTTCAGTTCTTCCCTGGAAATAGAGAAAACACTTCCCTTGCCAGATATATAGCAGCCAGGAAGTTCCTGAAGGCAAAAAACAGGACAGTGATTACTCTAAGCCAGTTGTCATTGCTAAGTCCATCCTACCAGCACTGGAATTACAGCAATGCATGTCTCCTCCATAACCACTGTGACTACACGTAGCAACACTCTGAAGCCATGAAAGGCACCACATAAATGCCCATTTTTTATTTCTTCTCTCACTTAAATCATCACTTTTTCAAGCTGAATGCCACAGAACAAGATGCCAGATTTCTGGTCATCTTTTCAAAGTGATATGTCACCATAAGATGACAATGAAGGCAGTACCTTGCATGACAGGCATCATTTGTATTGAAGCCTAATATTCCAGGACCAGTTTCCCCATAATAACAGAATATTTCAATTCATCCAAGATGGTCACTGCAGACTAAGTTACTTGGAGTATCAGCATAATGCATGGTGGTCATAGCACTGGCTACCAATTTGGCAATTCTCCACTTTAAAATCCATCCTTCGATCTCTTCACCTCTTCTCCTGTCTGTAACCTCTCCCACCTCTACACACCTCCAGATAGAGTCGTACAGCACAGAAACAGACTCTTCAGTCCAACCAGTCCATGCTGAAAATAATCCCAAATTAAACTAGACCCACTACCTACTCTTGGCTCATATCCCTCCAAACTTTTCTTATTCATGTACTTATCCTAATGACTTTTAAAGATTGTAATCGCACTCACATCCACCATTTCCTCAGGATGTTTATTCCATATGCGAACTACCCTCTATGTGAAAAATTTGCCCCTCAGGTCTTTTTTAAATCTCTCTCCTCTCATCTTAAAAACATGCCCCCCTAGTCTTGAAAATACCCATCCTAGGGAAAAGACAACTACCATTAGCTCTATCTATCCTCCTCATTATTTTATAAACTTCTGTAAGATCACCTCTCAACCTTCTACACTCCAGTTAAAAAAGTCCCAGCCAATCCAGCCTTTCTTTATAATTCAAACCTTCCAACATCCTGGTAGATCTCTTCTGAACTCTCTCCAGCTTAATAATATCCTTCCTATAACTGGGTGACCAGAAATGTATTCCAGAAGAGGCCTCAGCAATGTCCTCTTCAAACTCAACATGACTTCCCAACTCCTATATTCAAATAATTGAATAATGAAGACAAGTGTGTCAAACACCTTTTTAAGCACACTGACTGTATATGAGGCAAACTTCAAAGAATTATGTACCTGCACCCCTAGGTCCCTCCATTCTACAACAATTAACTGTAAAAGCCCTACCCTTGTTTGTTATACCAAAATGCAATACCTCACATTTGTCCAGATTGAACTCAATCTTAGAAAACCTTCTTCACTGGTTACAATGCCACCAATTTTGGTGTTGTCTGTAAGTGTACTAACCATGCCTTTTACACTCTCATCCAAATCATTTATATAAACGACAAACAAAAGATATCTACACTCCTTCATTTATGGCCTTTTGCACTTGCCGATTTTCATCAATCTTGTATTGGTGGCAGTGTCTCACATTGCCTGAGCCCAATTCACTGGTATTCCCTCCTAAACATATCAACCTCACTCATTCCCTCCTCCTTTAAGTCATTCCTTAAAACTATCTATCCAACAAAGTTGTAAACCCTCTTCTTTATACCTCATCAAGGGTGTTGCTATCCTATTTTGCTCCATAATCACTCCTGTTTAGGGCCTTGGTAAATTTGCTGTGTCAAAAGTGCTACATAAATGCAAACTATTATTGTTTAGCTTGCAGTGTGTCTCACCAGGATTCATGATCTATATACAATTAAATATTTAGAAGTGATGTTTGGGACTCTGTTCAGACCTTTATCTCAATAAATGAACCCTTTCTTATTAGTCCAAAATGTATCCTTTCATCTACAATATGTTTGTGGTGGTGCTGTTCTGAATAGGAATTTGTATCGTTGCCTTTAGCTTGCTAAATACAATACAAACTCTCTTGTATTCCAAAACTTCAAAGAGTTGCAATATCACGACCAGGAACAGGAAGGAAAACCAATACAAGGATAGCATGCAATGCTGGCAGATGTGTCTAAGACCAGAGAGCATAAATTTAAGGGGTGATTCAGAGGAGATCTGAGAAAATCTTCTTTTCGCCCAAAAGGTGGTAGAAATATGGGATGGGCTGTCTGAGAGGGTGGTGGCAGCAGATACTTTTACAAAACTTATGAATCATCTGTATAAGCACTGAAAATGCCAGGGCACAGCAGGACCAAGTGCAGGTAAATGGGATTAATGCAATTTGGTGTCAGTTGGTTCGCATATACATGGTGGACCATAAGGCCATTTCTATGCTGTATAACTCAATTGCGCTATTTGACTTGAAAGCATTTTTTCTGAAAAAGTACCTGGTATTTTTCTTAACAAGCTTGGAGTACACTTAACCAGCTTAATATACATTTAAAATGAAGTACAGACCTTTACAAAATAATTAATATTGAGATCCTTAATATCAAGTGGAAGTGGAAAGGACACAAAGATTTGTAGTGAACCTTCAATTAATGAATATTGTTATGATGAGTTTAAAGTCAATAGCATGAAAGGTATATTTAAGTAAGAGACAGCTGAAGGATGGGATAACACTGCAGATATTACTGTAATTAAAAGAACTTTATCCACATCTTGCCCATCTGAAAATAAGAAATGCAATTTTTCAGCAATCCTTTCAGCAATATCTGTCCTGAATCAAGGCCATGACATAAAACATATTTTTACTAATACCATGGTGTCTCCAATCCTTCTCAAAAGTAAGAGGATTAACTAATGAGATAACACAGTGTGGAGCTGGAGGAGCACAGCAGGCCAGGCAGCATCAGAGGAGCAGAAAAGTTAA